CGTTAGCGGCTCTTGTTCTCCGGCGATGCCAACGCCACGCCAGCGTGCCATGCCCAGAGTTCCCGGATGCCCAGTGCGGTCGTCGTCCCCTGCCGTCTCATAGAGCACCTCGTGGCTCATGACCAACAATAGACGAGATGCGAACGCAGAGCCTCTGGAGGCGAGATTACGAAACTATGAATTGGCTTACCGGGAACGCGTCGAAGCGGATGTCGGATTCGTCGGGCTCAGGGCTTTCTGCTGAATAAAAGATGGGTCCTCTTCATAACGTGCATTTTAGGATATCGGCAGCAGCGTGTTCCCGGATCCCATTTCGTTGTGTCAGGATGTTAGCCGCCGATTGCGTTGGAGGAAATGGAACGTAATCGATTTTTGCTGATAGGCTTGTGTGTCCCCTGACAGCAGATAGCGAATTGAAAGTCCGTCTCCAATGGTGATTATTGACAAATAGGGTAGTTATCGCCATTTTTGTAACCACCCCCTAATTGCAGGCATATGTCTTAGAAGAACGATCGACGCTGTTGCCTTCTTGGCCTTTGGACGTAGAATATCTTCGCGGTTTGTGTTGCATCTTCTGTTTGCAGGTCCTTATCTGACGGCAGCGTAGAGTTGACAAGTTTTGAGGCATCAGCGTCCGAGGCCTCTGGGTCAGTAATGACTATATTACCTCGTCATTCCAGGACTTCTAAAGCCATTCAGTGCGTCCGACCGTAGAACACTGGATGACGTCATCGGTTATGGTATAGTGCGTATAGTTGGTCATTTCTGAGTAGAAATGATCTTTTCTTTGTTCGCCTTTTACTTAAAAAAGCATGAAACCTAAATGATCACCTCGGCGCTTCACACCAGCCGTCATGGAAATATTTGAAACACAGCTGAGCACGTCCAAAACCCAAACCCTTGCGGTCAGAGTCCAAAGTATCAAGTCACGGAAACATGTCTCCACAGCATGGATCTGCTTGTCTGGGCTGTGCAGCGGTACATGCCAGTCAGCCAAGATGTCCATTCCGCCAATGGTCTGCAGTTGTACTTATCAAAAAGACCCGACATTTCCACCGCGGTGGTGCTATTTGTATGTGTAATGCACCGCGAGGCACAGACCGCAATCACGCGCGGAAGGCATTGGTGGGCACCGTCACCGAACAGTAGTTTTACTGCCGCATCACCACCTTGCACTGGTCCCGAATTTCTGCCTGCGTTGGGCCCGTTAGTCTCATATATTGTGGCCCAAAATTGAACTTAAGGTGGAGACAAGTTGGGAAGAAGGGCCGCGAGCATAATCGTCAACCTTGTGGCCAATAGGAGGCATTATTTCGGAGCTATGGGTGAATGTATGCCTACTCACGAAATCAGACGGGAAGCAAGCACCCGTACTCGGAAACCTACATGCTGTGGTGCCGGAGATTAGCGACATTTTCTTGGAGAAATCGCAATGTGCCCTTATGCAAACTGTGGCATCGCAACAGGCTCAAAACAATTCACATTTCCTGGGAATAAAACTAAAGAGCCACCAAGCCCGTCACGATTGATGCCAATGAGCCTTTGTTGATGAATTTTCTTTTGTAACTTTTGATGGTGATGCAATAGTGATGTGATGATTAAGCGTGTTACCTGATGCTTGTGATTTGATTGTGATGGGATTAATTATTATTATTAGTAGTATCATTATTAGTATTATTATTATTATTATTATCATTGTTATTATTATTGTTGTTGTTGTTGCGAATCTTGGCGAAATCCAGCGAGTGGCTATTCTAACACCGCGTCAGTGCATGTCACATAGATAAACACAGAACACGCAACACATGCAAATGGGACGCAATGCCAGCGCCTCACATACGATGTTATAAAACATGAGCGACTTATGGTACAATCAGCACCTGCACGTCATGGCCAGTTGGTCAATTTAGGTAAGTTATCTGATGAAAGACATTGCTTTGCCCTTGAACTCATAAAGGGTTTTGCACTGGAGCGTGGCAGCAGGGAGGCGATTCCACGCCGCCACGGCTCGATAGGGAAATGCCCTTTTCACGCACTCTAAGCGAGGGTGTTTTACAGTGCTCGTCTGCAGTACAGTTCCGTCATCGGTGGTTCTGGTGTGCCGCTGAGATACCTCAGATCGGCGCCTGATCAGGTTACTTATAGCCCGCAGGCCCACCAAGTACGGAAATGGCGCGATGCAAACATATGCAGTCGCGGTTGGTAACAGTCTCGTCGAAATTGGGCCAATTTAGCCGCTTTCTGGATTCCGTGATATGATCTCGTCTGCGTTTGCCAGCAACAATCCTGACCGCGAAATTAATAGCCTTATCCAGGCGCTGGCGCTGAACGGCTGTTGACGGGACCCATGCTAGGTAAACAATATCTGACGTGAAGGAAGACCAGTGACTCAACTAGGGACTTTGTTGTGGACCTGGGAAGCACATGCCTAAGCTTGTTAATAGCTATCAAGGATCCAAGACAGCGCTGGATAGTTTTGCCGTTTGATGCTGCCAGTTCAGATTTTTATCGATGAGCACCCCTAGTATTTTGATGTACTCTGAGGGAGACAGCTGGGAGTTACCAAAATTCGCGTTCAGCCCGGCGGCTTTGCGGGGGTCGGTGGGTGTGCCAGTAAGAATGAATTTAGCTTTTGATGGGTTGATCTCCATGCCATTGTGACGAAACCATACTGAGACTGCAGTCAGATTGGACTCAACACACGAACGCAGCTGTGCAAAATCAAAGGCAGATGGTGATGATTTATGCATGAGTTGCATGTCGTCTGCATATTTACACGTAGCTGAAAAATAAAACTGGATGTCGTTGGTAAGGAGGAGGAACATCAGTGGTCCTACTACGCTGCCCTGAACCACGCCATACGCGACCTCAAGGTTCGACCCGTTTCCACCCTTCACATTCTGTCGGCGGTCGGTGAAATAATCCGAAAACCAGTATAGTGAAATACCATAGCATTCCAGTTTGGCTAAAAGAGCAAAGCGGTCTGTACAATCGAAGGATGTTGGACAAGTCGGTTGAGCTGATGGTGGTGACCATACCGGCGTCCATGTTGTTGTTTATGTAGCTAACTATATCGGCGACTGCATGCTCGGTTGAAGTGGTGAGGACGGTACGCCTATTGTGAGTCAACAAAAATTGTGGTAACTAATCACACATTCTAAAAGCTGGGTACACACAACCTTCTCCGTCAGCTTGCTTGCAAGCACTGAGAACGCTGACAGGCCTGTAATTCGAACGACTCAGACGCCAGTCCTCCCTTGTGCAAGAGGCACGACTGTCGCGAGGCCTCCAGATGGACGGGACGCTACCAGTGGTGATAGAGTGGTTTACAGTGTGTAGCAGGCGAGGGCCAACCACTCCAAAACACTTCCCGAGCATGGATAGGCATACATTGTCCGGACCTACTGCGTTGGAGTTGCTCATGCGGCGCAGCGCGAGACTAAGCTCCGTCAGGGTGACCGATCTGAAGCGGAAAGCGCCACTGACCACCCTTGGCAGCCGCAGAGGCAAGGATAACTAGAGTAATTGATCAATCCAACTGTGGTTGATTGCGGCAGAGTAAGTCAAGATGGTAGCCGTCATACATAGATACTATGTATAGATAAGGCGGAAGTAATAGCCTTATTCCCGTGAAGAAAAAAAAACCTGGAGAGTGGAGATATAGATGAGTTGATATTTCCGCAGCATGCCTTCATCGAGACGAATAGCAGAAGTAAATTCGCCTCTGCTATTCGTTTTGGGAAAGATATGTTGCCGAAATATCAACTCATGTACATCTCCACTCTCCTGTTTCTCTCTCCGTGGAATAAGGCTATTACTACTGTCTATTCTATATGCATAATATTCCTCGCCAATGCATTCAATAACTTACCTAAATAGTCTGTGATGAATGAGGGAATTACACGTTAACTTGTTCAGATATATGCATTATTCGATCAATGCACATTGCACACACACAGCTTGTCGCTCCGCAGGGATTGTATATTTTTCCTATAACAGCCGAGTTAGTCCGAGAAACAGGTTTATCGGGGTGTTAGGAGTTCAGAACCATCTTCACTCTGACTGGAAGTAGCTTTATCACCACGAAACAACGCTGCCAATGCGTGATGATGTCAGCGCTTATTTATTGCGGTCAGCGGAGGCGCGGTACTCTCCAGCGCTAAGATGCAAACGCAAAGTTTTTTATAGCACTGAACGTGCAAAAATAGAGATTTCCGGTGGAATATGACGTCAGTAAGGTAGACTTTTAGAACACTTTTTAGGCGGTTGTGCACGCAGAAAATGTATTCTTTCTTCTCAAATTGATGAAGTGAAATTATTTGTACTTGGGTTATCGTTAGTTTAACAAGGTGGCATTTAGCTGCTGCTATCATATTTTCGAAACGTATTATTCAGCTGGGGCATCGTAAGTGTAAGAAGACAGTATTTAAAACCGCTTGTTTGGATTGAACGGGAGCATGAGGGATAATCGCTATCTCTTCTTCAGCCTTGGTTATACAATGATATTCATGTGAACAGATTCAGACACGCATTAAGAAAACCTAGAAAGTCGCACACAATTTATCTTATCCATCTCTCTGAGGCAACGAAAGTAGAATAGGTGACCGGTTTAACATTGCAGCCACAGACAAATAATGCAAACCGTTGATAAAGAGCGCATCAATGTACTCAAAATTCAAACCGATTTTAATACATTTCTTCTGAACTTTACAACGTCACATGGTAATTGTCACCACCCATACCTCTTAATCATAATCACGAAAACACTGATATGCATGCACACGCACATATTCATTATGCACATGTTTGGGCGGTATGCGAGGTAGGCAGTCATTTACCATGTGACGTGGTAGAATTAAGAAAAAATGCATGGAAATCGCATGGAATTGTGAGTGCATTGCATGTGTTTTTTGTCAACGGTTTGGATTACTTGTCTGCGGCTGAAATGTAAAACTGGTCATATATTCTACTTTTGTTGCCTCCGATGGACGAGTGTGTGACATTGCATGCAATGTTGTCCCGAAAGCTCCCGTACGATGCCAATAAGCTGATCCAAGCATGATCCTTTTTTTCTAAATACCCGCTTTCAAATTCGTGACAAAACACATTCCACTGCCGTCTAGGGCTGTATTTATACAAAGAGCACATTGAGTCTACATGAGATATGAAACACGTATACGACAGCGAATGTTCCGAAGATTATGTGGTTTACCCGACTCGTGTGTGACTATGCAGAGCAGAGGGTCTTGCGGAATGGTGTGAGAGACATCTTCTGCGGCATCTACCGTGGTCGGCAGATACGATGATGAAGACCGTTGGAGCCTATGTGTTGTGCGGGAATAAAAATACGCTCGCCTGTTCGGCCTTTGGCATTCTCTTTGGTGCGTTCGAGGAACCACAGGTGCTCCGAAGACCCAGCCGCAAGGGAAGAGACGGGACATTGCATGTGAGATGTGCTTAGCACCACACGCCGGTCGGCACCCGGAACGATGGTCCCCGGTCCGGACAGCCACGCCGCGACCACTTAAGCGAATGTACCAGAATTACACCATCGCAAAAAATCAATTTTGGATACTCCTGTTTTGCTGGCGGCGATCCTTCCTTCCCGGTTGTGTGCTTGGCTGCGGCTACCAACTAAAACGAGCTGGTTGGGAGGGCGGACAGGCTACATCTCTGTTCGCAAAATAAACACGTCAACTGCGCAAATACGCTGAAGCTGTTCGGCACGGGTGACTAGAAGCCCATCTTACTTCGCAATGCAGGCAATCCACAGAAACCTAAACAACGTCAGTCAGATCCAGTGCCGCTAAGCCGCCGACCATGTACACAGCTATGATATGTAAAAACAACCAGCGGCGCATCCGCACCACGCAGGGGTCCCCACACGCCGTCGGGGGCTTTCCACGAATCCTCCAGCCCGCCGGAGCTCTTCTGAGCCTGTCCCAGCGGCGGGCTGCAGCAGGTCACGACCCTTGACCCCCCCCGCGCGCCGGCTGCATATCACATTCAGACTGGCGAGGCGGTCTCCCCACCCGTCTTCGCCCGACCACCGCTTGTCCGGAACCAACCGCCCCCAGGGGAAATTCACCGCCGTCTGCCCGCGGCTATTCCGGGGAGTCGAGGTCACGTGGCCAGACGAATGGGTCACGTGACCGGCTCCTCTAAGCGGCTGCGATGCCATGGAGCTGTGTGCCGCCCATTCCCCCGGGGGCCCGTGCCCAGTGATCGATTGGACCGCGCCGGTCGCCGCTGCAATACACGCGCCGGACCTGTACAATATGGCCGCCGCCGAGGGTCAGGGGGTCAAGACTGGAGATCGCCCCAGACGACACCGGCGCCGCGCCCTAGATACACCCTGTAAGTCCGTTGAACGACAAGCGTGCCGCCGTAAAGTCCCCAGCTATTCGCGCCGGCCAACATCGACATGTCGCGTGATCAACACTTAGCGCTGGGTCCGCCATTCTTGCGTCATGACCTGGCGGCAAGCGGGAAACCGAGCACACGTGTCAGAAGGTCACGGCGGCGAGCGAAGCACCGGTACGGAGTTCAACGCCACAGCGGAAGATGCCACCGAGTTCTCGTTCTTGCTGGGCGTGGCGCGTACTGTTTAATGGCAGCACACGACATTGGTCCGCTAGAGAGCCCGCGAGTTCTGCCCGCTCTCCACTGCGTCCACCTCCTTCCACCGCATCACGCGTCCATCGGTCCACGCGGGACCCACACGGATCAGCACACGACATGACTACACGTGACTCAGCGGCAGTGACTTGTGCGAGAGCGCCGGGTTGGGCTCGCTCATCGTGTGCGAGGTGGTCTGCGAGAAGGTCAGGTTGGACTGCATCAGCGGGCCCTGCGAGGAGGCGGCCGGCAGGCTGGGCGTCGCCTTGCCGGGCTGCAGCGTCGGCACTTCGTAGCGACGTGCCAGCGCCGGCGGCGGCGGCCGCCGGCAGCCGAGCAGCACGCACCACGAGTGCAGCGTCTTGCGCGACCACACCCAGATGATGGACGTGACGCCGACGGCCAGCGACATGAAGTAGCGCAGCAGGAAGATGTTGAAGTTGGGCGCGTCGGCGTCGCTGGCCTGGCACGGGCAGACCAGCGCCGCCTCCCAGGCGGGCCGGAGGTGCTGCTCGTACACCAAGCAGGCGATGACGGCGGACGCCGGTACCGTGTACAGCACGGAGAACACGCCGATGCGGAACATGAGCTTCTCTAGCTTGTCCTTGTTTCCGCGGTCCTGCTTGATGACGCTGCGGATGCGGAAGAGGGAGACGAAGCCGGCCAGGAGGAACGAGGTGCCGAGCAGCAGGTAGGCCACCAGCGGCGCCAGCACGAGGCCGCGCAGGTTGCCCAGGCTCTGGCCGCCCACGTAGCACACGCCGGTCAGGCTGTCCCCGTCGACGGCCGCCGTGGCGAGCGCAGCGATCGCCTTCCCCGCCGGGATGACCCAGGCCGCCAGGTGGAAGTACGGCGAGTAGCCGGCAATCACCTCGTTGCCCCATTTAAGGCCGGCCGCCAGGAACCAGGTGAGCGAGAGGATCACCCACCAGACGGCGCTGGCCATGCCGAAGAAGTAAACGAGCAGGAAGACGACGGTGCAGAGGGCGGCGCCGGCCGGCCGGCCCGGGCCGCCGGACGCGTCGTACCGGATGACGCCCCCGTCGCAGGCAGTGAGCTCGTGACCGGCGCCGAGTCGCACCAGGTAGCCGACCGACACGAGGAAGTAGCAGCCGGCCAGGAAGATGATGGGCCGCTCCGGGTACTGGAAGCGGCTCCGGTCGATCAGGAACGTGGCGACCGTCAGGAAGGTGCTGACGGCGCACAGCACCGCCCAGCTCAGCACCCAGCGCTCGGCGAACTGGTGCTGCGCGGCGCTGAAGTAGGGGGCGCGGCAGGGCAGCGCGCACTCGGCCACGCCGCCCAGCGTCACCGACCGGTTGAAGAGCCGATGGCCGGGAGCGAGCGGCACGGCGCGCGGCGCGGAGCACTCGCACGCGCAGGGCGGCGGCGGGCGGCGGCGGGGCGGCGGCGGCGGCGCCTCGCCGTTCTTGTTGTCCATGCAGAGGTTCTCCGGGTCGCGGTACTCGGGCAGCCGGCTGCAGTCGAGCCGCTCCGGCCACGCGAAGTCGTGGTCGAGCATGACCGGCTCGCAGCCGGCGCGCGCCCGCTCGCACACCGAGCGACACACGGGCAGCGAGCGCTGGTACTTCTGCAGGCAGATGGGCACGTACGTGGCGCACAGGAAGAACTGCAGGTCGTCGGAGCAGTGGATCTCAACCAGCGGCCAGTACTGGTGCACCTCGAGCCCCGCCTCCTCCTGCGTGTCGTGGTGGAACTGATTCGGCATCAGCGTCACGTTGTAGCCGATGTTGCGGCACATGGCGATGCTGATCTCCTGGCACTGGAAGGTCGGCTCCTGGGCCAGCAGCGCGGCCGGCAGCAGCAGCAGCAGCGCCGCGGAGGCCAGCGCCACCGCCATGGCGTCGCCGGGCGTTCGTACTGTCTGGCTGACGGGCAGGGCGCGCTCGGTCACATGGCGGGCCCCGTGCCCGGGCAGCGTCCCCCTATTTCGGCGCGACGGGGCGGCGGCGAGATGATGGATTAGAAATCCATACCGGGCCGCCCGGCGTCTGGAACGGGTGGTCCTGGAACGGAGCGACGCGTCCATTAGCGCCGCGACCAAGCACACACACAGACACACACACATACACACACACAACAAAAAAATGATGAGGCAAGGGGATACGCGCACACACAGCGCGAGACAAATGCTGGCGCTCATTCCCTGTTTGCTTGGGACTGGTGGCCTAGATTGCCGGCGGCGGACGTGAGGCGTCCGATGGTGCGGTAACGTCATCGACAAAGAGGACAGGGCACTTTTTGTCGATGGCTGCCACTTCTCGGGAGTGAAGGACGCGATCGCTCTTTTGCGCGCCAAGGAAGGCAGGCGAATTAGCTAGCTGCGAATTGAACCCAGGAACCTTTAAAACATCGTAAAACAGTAGTACTTCAAGCATTTCTACCGAAGACTTGTTTACGACACTATTCAAATTTGATGCGTGCATAGCGATCAGGACGGTGTTCTTGATTGGCATCTACGTAGGCCTCAAAGATTGAGTGACGCGTAGGAGCAAAACATGTGCTCCTGTTTGCTTTTCCGGGTAGTCCGACAAATAAGCCGTGTTCTATTAGCTCTAGACCTGCAATCTGTGGCCGCGTGCGCTCACGCCTTATTTGAACACATCGGCTGGAAACATTAGCTGAAGCAAGAGTGACTGCCTGGAACCCCGGCTCCAACTTCACTCGTCCATCAGCGGCCCGCGCTCGCTCAAGTATCGGCCTAGTCTTGCAGCGAGCAATCAACGCCATGGCGCGGAACGTAATTTTCGGCGCCATAAATCTGCGGAACGACCGCCGAAATAAAAGCCTGGGCGAGCAGAGCATGCTACACGCGTTCGCGGGCGCTAACATAACTGCCAGTCAATCGGGATGTAGCAGGCAGCAGGCGGCGGGATGCTGCAGCGGTACACCTGCCGGCAGCCAATAGTAAGAGCTGCGAATTGCGACCAGCACGTGGAATACGAAAGAGTCATAAATGCCGTGCACCAATCACAAACAAGCCTACCACGGAAATCTGCGCCGCTGCGAAGGCTGTGAACCAATCATAGGAAGCTCTTTCTGGTGAGGCGTCCGACGGCGGCGGATGCGGCGCCATCGCAGGTGGAACATGGCAGTCCCCATCAATCCGGACGGCTGGTAATCAGGGACGGATCGAAGCTCATCAACAAGCGGCGAGCTGACGCGGGAGCTGTCTGAGTGATGCGCCGCTGGCAGGCGCCAATGGGCGTCCGATGGAAGGGAAGAGAAAAAAGTGGAGGGAGAGAGTAGAGAGCGGGCAGAAAAGAGACTGGGAAAGAGAGAGAGAGAGAGAGAGAGAGAGAGAAGAGAGAGAGAAGAGAGAGAGAGAGATAGAGAGAGAGAGAGAGAGAGAGAGAGAGAGAGAGAGAGAGAGAGAGAGAGAGAGAGAAGAGAGAGAGAGAGGAGAGAGAGAGAGAGAGAGAGAGAGAGAGGAGAGAGAGAGAGAGAAGAGAGAGAGAGAGAGAGAGAGAGAGAGAGAGAGAGGAGAGAGAGAGAGAGATGAGAGAGGAGAGAGAGAGGAAGGAGAGGGAGATGAGAGGAGAGAGAGAGAGAGGGAGAGAGAGGTATATGAGAGGGTGAAGGAGAGGGCTAGAGTATATGTCCGCCCGCCTCAGCCCTTGGGCGCCTGAGTGCGTACGCATCACAGCACTGGTTTGGCGCCTCTACCGCATGACCACACCTGGACCCACCAATGGGCCCATCACTATCTCCCTCATCATTGCCAGCATTATAACTGCCGCTGAGGATGAGACCATTGACGGGCTGGACGTCAGGCGTCATGCCGTCCGCTCCATATTCTGGCTGCTGCCCACTGCCATCCTCCGTCCGACGAAGAGCATCAGCCATCCGGCATGCGTTTTTTCGGAAACCCTAAAGCGGCGATGCCTCCTTTTCGGACGCCGCCGCACGTAACCTGTCCCGTAACGAGCGCGCTGAGAGATTGCCCGCGCCCGCCGACTGCCTGCAGATCGCCAGAAAAGGCTGCAGCCGCCGACGAAATATGCACGGCGCTCAAGGCGGCGCAAGCAAATGGCCTCATCTTTCGAAATCGGCCGCGCCGGCGTCAAACGACCGCGCTACGTGCATGACACGGCCTGCGCCGTCGCGTGTCCCATCGGTGGTCGACGCGTGCCCCATCGGTGGTCGAGGCGAGCCCCATCGGTGGTTGACGCATGCTCCCCGATGGTTGACGCGTGCTCCATCGGTGGTTGACGCATGCTCCCAGGTGGTTGACGCGTGCTCCATCGGTGGCTGAGGCGTGGTCCATCAGTGGTCGAGACGCGCTCCACCGGTGGTTGACACATGCTCCCAGATGGTTGACGCGTACTCCATCGGTGGTCGAGGCGTGGTCCATCAGTGGTCGAGGCGCGCTCCATCGGTGGTCAGCGCGTGCCCCATCGGTGGTCGAGGCGCGCTCCACCGGTGATCGACGCGTGCTCCATCGGTGGTCGAGGCGCGCTCCACCGGTGGCCGACAGTCTTGGGACGCTCTCCTCCGCATCTTCATCGGCGGCCGTTCCGCCCGCCGTATTTCAACCAATAATGACCCTAGTATTGGGCGCGCCGCAAAGCCCCGCTTACCGGTAAGGCGGCCGAGCCGTTCGACGGGCGCGCAGGGGCCGCCGGAGCGCCGGGCTTAGGGGGCTCCCGACGCCCCCGCCGCGCCGGGGCCGATTTCTCACGCAGCCTGAGTGGCGCGGGCGCCCGAGCGGCAGACCTCCAGCCGAGTGACTCCCGAGATCGCCGGGCGAGCGGCCATTGAGGCCGGGAACGTCTTCCCCGAGAGAACCCGCCGACACGCTGCGACGAGCTGTGGTGTGCCGCTGAATGACGCCATCGGCCGTTTTTGTGAGATGAGACTGAGCGTGTTATGCACGTGAGCCGGGCAATCAAAAACGACGTCATCGAGCGGCTTCGTGAGGCGACGGCCGGCATATTACAGGCGAAACGCAGGAAAGCAATAAACGTCGGTTGCGTCATGGACGAAGCGCCCCTCCCCGTGCCGCAGGCGGGGCGGCGCGGAGGCGTCGCCAAGCAGCGCCGGGCCGACGAGCCGCGCGGCCCCTCGGCCGCAGCGCAGACCGACGGTGTTTTTCCGTCGATTCGTCACCATTACCTGGCTGGGGACTGTTTGTGTTGCTGGTTTGCGGCCGGCACCGGCCATCGGGCGTTCGCACTGCGACAGAGCCCCTCCCCTCCCCCGGTCCCCGGATCATAGCAGGTACAGGGCGCGCTCCGGCGGGTCAGTGGGGTCATCAGGGGCTAGCGGCACGGCAAAATGACAGAGCTTACTTCACGCTTTTGTGCACCGTCTTAATTTGTCTACTGTACGTGCGTTTTGCGTTTCGTACGTTTGGGGACACCCTGACCAGTAATCTCGCGATGTTCACATGAACGGAAGTAACGGGTTGTCACCGCGCGTGGTCGGATACGAGTGATCCCGGAAGCAGTGGCTTTAAGGGATGGAGAAGTTCAAGCCGTCTGAACTGCCAGCCGAGAAGTTCCGTGCATAATTTGCCGCAACTCTGGAAACTGCTGCGTTCGAGAGCTCTTCGCACCTCGGATACTTAGGCTCGTATCGTCTTAGCTCGCAACCAAGGCGTGTGAAATGCAAATGCATTGACGCACGCTCCCTTTGTTGCCGAGGCGATTATTCTGCAAATCAATACTGTAGCTTCGGTGCAAGCGTTCTTCGACATCGCTGACTTCAGCCAGCACAGGGAGCCGCCACTATCCGCGGCAACTGTCGACTGAATACCAGATCAGCCAGCCTCCCCGGGCCGGCGTGTCCACGGAAACATCGGCCCGTCGGACCCCGCACCGGCGGCGTGTCACCACGCGACACAGCCGCCAGCTGACCGGTGTCACGCACGTGCCCGACCGCGGCGCGGGGCCGTCCGACGACTGATCGATATGCGCCCGTTCCGTGCAAGGGTCGGGCGGGGTGCGGCGGGACACGGCGTCGCGTCACTGCTCGCGACGCGGTTTTATGGCGGTTTTTACGGGGGAAGTCTGCGCAACTTGGCGCCGATGATCAGCAACAAGTTCTCCTCGTTGAGCTCTGCTAGAACTGGGAGACCAGGATGGCGAGGGATGATTGATGAGTCAGCTGTACGGCCTTTTCACCCCTCGGATCTGGCCCCCACTTGCAGCCCCAGCGACGCCTCGCCCCGTGCAACAACGGCCGATCAATAAATGCCCCGTGGCGGCGGAGGAGCAGGCGCCCGTTCAGGATGTCTATCGACACTGCCGCTGTTGCCATGGCGACGCGCGCCGCTCCGACGCCGCCAGCCAATCGATATACGGAGCGCCGGCGGTGGCCGGCTGGCGCACGCGCGGGCGCGGCGGACTTTACGGGTTGTTAAGAGGGACCATAAACGTAGTCAAAGAATCGCCCCCCGTGAAGCGCTAATTGAGCGGTCAGCCGAGCAATCGACGCGCTGGTTTTTGCTTAATGACCGGAGGGACAGGCGGCGGCGGACTGTAATCGGTGGCTGATGGACAGCTGATGAGTAGGTGCGCCCAGTCGGCCCGCACGGGAAACCTTACGCCGCGATGTTCCATTTGCAGATGAGACGAGCACGTCGATGGACCGCCGCCAAACTTGCGACCCACTTTGCTAAACTTGGCCTGTTCCGCGTCAGAGCCCATCGGGGATTAAGCCGTCGAAAATTCTGACCGCGGACACGCCGCACCCCGCTAACCAGGTCCCCTTCCGGACGGAAACGGAGGACAGCGGTACGATTCACGCAATCCACCTGCCGGAAAAAACAAATATCTAGCACCTGTGTAGACGTGGGGGGTGACATCTATGACACGTGTTTTCTGCTTTGAAGGATGCACAGGCGAGCTCTCGATGGGCGTATATGAGCGTCACACTTGCGGGGCTACATAATACGTAAATGTTCCAATCTGGAGATGGATGCCGTCTGCCAGAATTCGGGACTGACGCTGAACTAGTCCCGGGATAGATGCAGACAAAGATTACTGGTCAGCATATTCAGGCA